GAAAGCTTAGAGAGAGCAAGTAGAGCCCAGAGGCAGCTGCTTTTAAACGGTGGAGAGGCTTGAACGCTGTCCTGATTGGTTAATGCCATTCTGCTGTTCTGAGCATGTGCAAGCAAGGGTGCTCAGCCTCACGTGGCTAAGCCAGGTATGGACTTGTATACCTCCAAACTGCAGGACCACCTGTGCCTCCAGGTGGCTTCCTACACTCGTCCTTCTAAAACTGTAACAACTATAACACAACTCTTACACATAAGGCTCAGAGACCATTGTAGAAGAGGAGGGCAAAAGGATTTTAAGAATCAGAGGAACAAGCTGGGTGGTGGTGGCTCATGCCTTTAATCCCAGCACTTGGGAGGCAGAGGCAGGCAGATCTCTGTGAGTTCGAGGCCAGCCTGGTCTACAAGAGCTAGTTCCAGGATAGACACCAAAGCTACAAAGAAACCTTGTCTTGAAAAAACAAAAACAAACAAACAACAACAACAAAAAGAATCAGAGGAACAGGGAATGAGACAGTGTCTCCTAGAAATGTCAGAGAAGCCACGTTCATGATGTCTCACCAACATGGATGCCTAAACAAAACCTGACTCAGGACAGCACCAATAGACATGGGGGAAGGGTGGACCTCATGGGGACCCACCCTTAGAAAAGGAACTATAGAAAAGTATGGAATGCTGAGAGTGGGGAAAATAGGTTTCTTCAGGGAAGAGAGACCCCCCAATTGGTTTACTAACACTAAAGCATCAGCCTTGAAATCATATACATCAAGTAATATTATACAGACTGAGCAGGTTGTATTTACATATTTAGGAATGTGTGTGTGTAAGTTAAACAATAGAAACCATGACTTTGAGATAGAGTTCAGGTTAAACTGGAAGGGTGGAGAAACAGGAAGAGGGAAATGATGTGTTTATATGTTAATATCAAAACTAAGAAAAGTTAAAAATGTAACTAAAAGGTTTTCTGTATCTCAATAATAGGTGTTTCCACCTACGCAGTATGCCAGATCAAGCCAAATTGTAAAAGTCACAGAACAGGTTTACTTGAGCAAAGTAACCCCTGGGTGAGTTTTCTAGCCCTAGTGATAGAGGCAGGAGTAGCAGCATGCCTGAACTAAAGCAGGTTATATAGTCTGTAGAAGAGGGGTGCTGGTGTGTCCAACCCCAGGTTGGGTTTGTGCCCAAGTGTGGTCATAAACTGAACAGTTTACGTGGGGACTTGGGCTGCTGGCAACTTTAGGGGAGGAGCTATCACAGCAGCCCAGAATGCAGAAGTGGGCTTTTTGAGCCTTTTCTTTGTTGGAGAGTCTCTGAGAGGGCAAGATTTGGAGAGAGGGAGAGAGAGAGAGAGAGAGAGAGAGAGAGAGAGAGAGAGAGAGAGAGAGAGAGAGCTTCTCAGATCATGCAGGATCGAGTTGAAAGTTCCTACTGAGCAGTAACAACTAAAAATACAGTGTTAAGTGTACAATTAGGGATGCAACAGATTCAGATAATGGTCATGATTTTGCCACTTACACACTGAATAATTTTTGATGAGTCATTGCATCACTAACTCAGTAAGAGAACAGTTCATCTATCCTGAAGATTACATTATGAACATACAGGGTTTGGTGTACTTATCAATAAGTGGTAGATAAATTATCACTAGGAAGAAACAAGCAATAATGATAACACCAAGAACACGGCAGGTGCTACTCATGTTTGAGTCAGGGCTAAAGATAATGAGCATCCCAAGGGCAGAAATTAGCCCATGTTTTCCCCAGGGTTTTATGGACTCCTCTTATTTCTCTCTGGTACCAAGCATGAGTTTCTAGGTAACCGTTGGCAAGGATCGCCTATGAATAAATCCGCCCTCAAGAAGTCTTATTAAAATGTTGTGCACACCAACCATTTTGTCTCCTCACAGAATAAACATCAAAACATTGGATTTTGTCTCATTTTTGTAATTAAGATTTGTAATTTCCAGAGGAGAGGAAGCAGTGGTTTCTGTATGGTAAAGTCAACTTTATTGAGTCTACATAAATTCACCCATTGCATTGATGTCTGCTTTCATTCTGTTGTTTATTACATTATTGAAAATTGCATATGACTAGACCAGTGGAAATTAAATTTAAAATAATGATAACAGGAATGCTGAGATGACGTGTCAGATAAAGGTGCTGGTCACTGAGTCTGATGGCCTGAGTTTGAGGTCTGAGACCCACATAATGGAAACAGAAAATTAACCCCCTATCTATTCTCCTCTGATTTACACACAGAGGCCAAATAACATAAAAATGAATCACAACAGGAAAATAGCAATAAAATAATTTAACTATTCGAGAACTAAAATAAAAATTACAGACTTCTGGCTTTCCAGTACTAATCATAGTAAATGTAATCTTGAAGGATTTATTGCCTCTAGATTTCAAATTTCTTCAATGTAATAAGATTAAAATTGATTATAATATCAATATTCAAGGATTATAAATATATTCCTATAGAAAATATGCATGCAACACATCTTATCTGCCATTTTTATAACCTCATACACACCTATATGTGAATTTCAGATTTTCATAAACAAGCAGATTATCATTCAGGTGTCTGGAAGAGTTCACGGGTAAGGTCTTGTCTTACAATGACAGTTGGTCATCCAAGGCAAATGAGAAGGAAACCTGGGAAATCCTAATTCTCAGGTTCTGCCAGGTGCTCAATGCAACAGGAGCTATGGGAACAGGTCGGCCTCTGTGTTGCAATCTCTCAGCCTGGGGTTTCTGATAAACCACTCCTACGGAAGAGCTATAGCTAACGTCACCCTCAAAACCAGCAGTCAGTTACTAAAAGGGGACCCAAGACAGGTCGTGAGCGTGAAGATTTTACAGCAGGAGGGAGTGGCATGGCTGGAGACTATGGAGCAGGGGGCCAATGGCCCTACATTATATCACACTTTCTCATGCAGCCGTTTCTACACGAGCCAGGAACGGCTGAATTTAAAGGTATCTTCCCTGCAGTAGGTCCTCACAGAGGACACACACCCTCTATTCTGAGACATAGTTACTGGGACCCTAGCCCTCAGAATTCTTGATGGTGGAAATCTAAGACAGAAAAGGTTTCTCCGGGTGATCTTGCATGCGTTTTTCAGACCCTTTTCAATGATACGCTTTTTTGGTTTAATTCACACTTCACAGGTAGCTAAAACGGGGTGTATATTCAGGGAAAGTAGAACATTCTTGGAGTTTCTGTGAGCTAAAGGTGAGTTTGTCTAGAGAAAGCCGCAGGGGTGAGAATAAGCCTATGGAAACGACAAGGCAAGAACTCAGCATGGACACTCTTCAGGAGGTTTATAGAAGCCACGTTGTCATCCAGGACATTTCCCTGGGACGGGAATCCACGGCTTTGCAACTTCCTGGCCAGTGTGAGGGCCACCAGTCGGCTGTAACCTTTCCTGCGATGGTCAGGTAGGGTGTAACCGTGACACATGGTCGCAAACTGGTCGGTGATACCCCAGGACACGGGGTTTCCCTGCTCGTCACGCACACACACGCTGGGAAAGCACTCGATGAGTTTGGCTATGTACCGCAGGCACTGCTGGTTGCCGCCACGTGACCAAGTCCGGTTGAGGAGATCAGCATCTGAGACGCTCAGGTAGGTCAGTCTTGGGGTAGGCCCAGTTCTGGAAGAAAATCAATAAATCAATAAATTGGTAGTCACATGACTACCAACAGCTACCCTTTTCCTACCGATTATAAACGGAAATCATCTCCAAGACCATGTTTCGCTTTTTCAAGAATTTAGAATTTAAACACTTCCGACTTGAAAGACCGTCACGTGAAATTTAGCTTCATGACCACTTGTTTTCATCAACTCTAAAGACTGCGGTGTGACTGAGGCTGCTTCTGCATCTTCACTCTCTGGGAGAGGAAGTATAACTTAATTTATATTTGGATTACTTTCGTACTGATGCAGAAGGATAACAGACTCTCAAGGTTCAGCTGGTCACAAGTAGATGGTTGACCAGAATCATTCCCAAAGGAGACAGACACCTAGCTGATGACAATCACGTGATTCCCTACTTTGTTCCCAAGTATCCAACTTGCTATCATCTGGAGGGGTGGAGTGTTGGAACCTCTTTTGATTTTGAGTGTTGCCAGATTCTTGAATTATAAGCTAGGCCACAGTTAACACACACATTCTTCTTCTTCTTCTTCTTCTTCTTCTTCTTCTTCTTCTTCTTCTT